CCCCACCGAGCAGCGGCCGGCTTGCCCCGGCGGACGCCGTAGGAAAGCTCTTCAGTGGTATGAAGGTTCGGAGCAGTGGAGGCCAGGAGCCTTGTGCAGACTCACAGCCATAAATTATTCCGACAGAGGAAGTTTAAGATGTCAAAGTCCACCCGTCCGGTGCGGCTCCGTGGCTGAGCGTCCACCTGTGAACCAGGAGGTCAGGGCACAGGCCCGGGTTGCAGGCTCGATCCCCAGGGTGGGGCGTGCAGGAGGCAGCCGATCCATGATTCTCTCTCATCATTGATGTTTCTCTCTCCCACTCCCTCTCTATTCCTTTCTCTGAAAATCAATAAAAACATATTTTAAAAAAGAAACATACTTTTGTTGAAGAGAGAACAACTCTAGGCTTATTTTGCAGGGATGATGGGAACTCATCTCCAACAGAGTGGAACGCAGGATTAATCACACCCATCACCATGGAAACTACAGCCGTCTCCTCTGCAATCGTCCCGGCCTGTGGAATGCTTCCTGAAAACAATACTCCCTTGAAAGCTGGATTGAGTGTTAGAATTTATAAAACATTAATTTCCTTCAAGGGTCTTTTCAGTTCATCTTTTTAAAAAAAATATGTACTTTTATTGATTTCAGAGAGGAAGGAAGAGGGAGAGAGAAACGTCAATGAGGAGAGAGAATCATGGATCCGCTGCCTCCTGCACGCCCCACCCTGGGGATCGAGCCTGCATCCCGGGCATGGGCCCTGACCGGGAATCGAACCGGCGACCTCTTGGTTCCTGGGGCCGATGCTCAACCACTGAGCCATGAGGCCGGGCAAGATTATATGTTTCTTATGCAAAAGTGTGATCTTTAAGAAAATACACCCACTTTTTTTTTTCTTTTTAGAAAATTTTAAAAATCCAGACTGTGATGGCTGCTTCTCAATTGAAAAGGTCACTGTCCAAAACTTTAAGTAGAACCGACCGTCCCTTCAGCCTACTGGCCCGGCCTGGCCGGGTGGCTCAGTGGTTGAGCGTCGACCTATGAACCAGGAGGTCCTGGTTCGATCCCTGGTCAGGGCACAGGCCTGGGTTGCGGGCTCGGTCCCCAGTGGGGGGCGTGCAGGAGGCAGCCATTGATGATTCTCTCTCATCACTGATGTTTCTCTCTCTCTCTCCCTGTCCCTTCCTCTCTGAAATCAATAAAAATATATTTTTAAAAAGACACGCTGGCCGTTCCTGGGCCTGCA